CCGCTGGTCCGGCTCCCCGCGGGCTCAATCTGCATTGTCGTGCAGATATCAACGGGGTATTCATGAGCGGCAGTTGTCGGTCATCTTATCCGGCGGGGATCGCGGGTCGGGGCATACAGTTCCGGGGAACACTCGAAAGCAAACTTCGATTTGTAGATTATTGGTCGCGATCTTGTACTTACGTTGCATCCTGGCTTCGCAATTTCTCCGTTTCTTCGGAACCGATATCGTTCGCCATTGTCGTCGAGTTCGATCGAGCACGCAATCTAAGATGGCCGCAGGAACCGTCTACATTGCTACATACTACCCCGTGAACCCTGACTTGTGATTCGTTAGAGTATATACCTGGACGTTGATGCACTTTATGTGTAGGTCTCCTCCTTCTTAAATGTAAAAAGAATCGCATATCAAAATATTTTGTCGCGAATGTCGAACATTAGGTTTGATATAGGGATTTATTTAAAATACCAGGCCAAAACAGACTGTATAAATATCGTTATACGTCTGAATTCTAATCACTTTTCCTCATAAATTATTAGTTTAAAATAAGGCATTGTTGCTTAAAGACCTTAGTTTTCATTTTGTGTGATATTCATTCTGAATTCATTCTCCTATTGTTCCAAAGTAACAATACCATCAGAAGTTTTTGATTGAAACATCTCGATTCTCTCTAAATATTACTCTAGACGGTAATATTAAAAGACTATTGCCACTTAATCCGCAAAACATAAAAACAAAAACAACAGTCTGAGAGCCAGGATGTGAGCGCAACTTGTCACTATAAACGAGATTTAACATCTGTCTCTCTTTATCACAAGGAATTTGTGGCACATATCTCAAAGACCAATATCATCGAAACATATCTAACTAAGATGTGAAACGAGTGTGTAATGTATCACCCTTGCCCTCATGTAAATTGTTAAGGCTTTCACAATAATTTATCAGTTCTGTTCCACCTCCATCAAAATGTCGTGTGTTTACTTCAATAGATACCCCCGCCCCCCCCCCCCCAACTCCACTCCGGGAACTGAGGGAACGCATTCATGTTCCAAAAATCTCCGGTAAAGGGGTACTTTTCACGCAACAAAGTCCGGCTCGTAAAGACTTTACACACCAGACAGGGGGGGGGGGGGGGGGGGTGGATTTTTGTTTTATGAGACCCCTCCCACCAGTGACGTACGCAGGATATTTTCAATTGGGGGGGGGGGGGGGTTAAAATCGGGCCCAGGGGGGAGGGGGGGGGGGGGTAAGAGGACACTTTTGGGGGGGGGGGGGGTAAGGTCACCTTTTTTAGGTCAGCCGTTGGCATAACAAAAAAAAATCAAAAGGGGGGTGGGGGTTTCACAAAAAACATACACATAAAAAAAACTCAAGGGGGGTTTAACCCCCCCCCCCCCCCCCCTGCGTACGCGCCTGCCTCCCACACATACACTTGTCACTCAATGGTTTGTTTGCGGTAGTTTACCGCGCAATATCTGAACGAACCGTAACGATGAAACAAATGGATAATTCAAATCACTCCCATATCCTTCCCTCTCTCGGTAGGCTAGTTCTCTCGCATTTACCAAATCAATAAAACTGATTCACACACCCCCCCCCCCTCCCTCACCGACTCTGGTATCCCCTAGATGACTGGACCCTCACTCCGCCACCTGCTAGTCATATCATATTCAGGATTTCATATTCTACCAAGTTTCATCTCTTGTTTCTTCGAGCGATGCTATCATTTCCAGGGGCATGATATTCCAGAATGATTATCCCTCACAAGGGAAATCCCCTTGTATCCGAAACCTCACGAAACAGAGCAGAAACGTACTTTTAAATGGTCAACTATGCTTCAGGTTGCTCGAAAACACCCGGAAAAACACTTTGAAAACGAGTACTGCGGTATAAGACTTCTCCAATTATATTCTTTTATCCGAGAAGAACCGCTTTCTAATCGTGTCTTTCCAAAGTTCAGGGGAATAAATCATTACATTACATTTCGTTCAGCCACCGGCAAACGTACGCCACAGGATATATTTTTTATGAATATAATACATGAGCATCAATGACCCGAATCTTTATATCCGATAATCTTACCCCTTAAAGCTTTCAGAGAAATGGGATTTCCATAATTGGATGAAAAACGGTGTTAATGTCTCAAATCCGATTTGTAAAGCGACTAACTGGCGACAAGTATTCATTGATAAGCTCTAAAATACTATATTTTATTATTGGCTTGCCGTTATAATTTAGATGTCACAGTATGCAGTGACCTATTGCGTACCTTCGTTAAATACAAGTGTGAACTGGATGTGATAGAAATTATGCTCTATCTCTCTCTCTCTCTCTCTCTCTCTTCATCTCCCTCTCTTTGTCTCTTTTTTTCTGTCTCTGCCTGTCCGTCTCTCTCTCACACCCTTTCTCCCTCTCCTTATTTGTTTTTTTCTACCAGTCTCTCTTCCTTTCACCATTTCTCTTTTTTCCTCTCCCTCCCCCCTCTCTGTCTTTCATTCTCCATCTCTCTCTCCTCGTCCTCTCTCTCTCTTTATCTCTTCCCCTCTCTCTCTCTTTCTCTTTGTCTCTGTTGTTTTCTGTCTGTCTGTTCGTTTCTCTCTCACCCTTCCCCCCTCTCTCTTTTTCCTTATTTTTTTTTCTTCTGCCAGTCTGTCTCTCTCACTCTCTCTCTCTATTTCTTTCACTCTCTCTCTCTCTCTCTCTCTCTCTCTCTCTCTCTCTCCTCGTCCCCCTCTCTTCTTCTCCCTTCCCTCTTTCTCAACTACTTTCCAATCCATCTTGCAATCCCTTCATTCGGCAGCCTCTTCTATACATTACTTCCATTTTTAAAAGTCATGATCAATGCTTGTTCAGATTTGAAACGGTAAACCGCCACAAATAAACACAACACATTTTTTGTTTCTGTCTTAATGAATGGCAATTGCATGCAACAAAGGACTTGCACGTATTCAATGAGCTCTGTGTCATACGATGCAGAAATGTGCAGTGTATTACACTGCACATCTTCATTAGAATTTTTTTTAAACGCCTCTGAACGAACCTATACTTCCCCTTTCAAAACTCTTAATTACGGTGCATTTCTCAATGACAAATACCAGCTCAAAATAAAGACAGCTGCAGATATCTTAGATTAAATCTCCATTCTATTTACAATATTCTACACAGAATTTACATTTTCAAGATAAACTAGCATGAATACAACCACAAACATGAATACATTTGATTAACATCTGCAAAAAAGAATGCCTTGATTCTTTAACAACTTTGCAGCTCATATACCCATACAAATGTTTTAGCGACTGATATTCCTGTATCTGTCACTTCATAACAGCTGTCATATATGTCATTTAGTATATTTATGATAAAAAAACATTTTACCAATAATATTTTTTAATGTGCTAGTTTCCTTTGCTCACTTATTCATGCAAAATAGTACATGTACTTCTATGCTCATATGTGACTAAGCACTGCCTATATTATGCTAGTAAATCTTAAAGGAAAGTAGCAATGCTTACGCAACCCAGCCTATCATACATTTACAAACAAGCTCAAAGGGATTTTGACTTGTAACACAACATTCATCTTCGGACTGCAGAGAGGTTCAAGATAAATGTCTGGAGATGTGCGACAGAGTTTCACAGATTTGACAATTTATGCCTCAGAAAAAGCATATAGCTTGCAACGAACAACAAGTTCTTAAAGATAAATACATATGAAGCCAGGAGACATTTGTTATCAGAAAAAGCATACATACATGTAAAACTAAAAGGCAATTATAAGAAGGTAAAATCAGACTAGAACTCAATAATATTGATCAACATGATCTAGTAAGCTCCTTGTCAAAGCACAGCGTCTGATTAACAAAACAACTTACATCATTTGTACATTTCTTGGTTCATGAAATCAATTAAATATGTTGGTAAAAAATATTCAGCAATAGTAAACAGACATTTATCCTGATGTAATAAAATTGATTGTAAATCTCCTTCATCAAGGCTACATACATATACTTTCATATACCATTGTAACTGTACAATTCTATAATTTTGGCCGACAAAATGGATACATCAACCATAGCTCAGCTGCTGAGAGACAGAAGAGAGGTAAATCCGGGGGGCCCTGTTTCATCAAACTTGTTATCAGAAACAAATGCTGAATTTCTTTGACAATTCGCTCTCAGCCAATCAAATGCCACGATTTCGGTAGCTTATAACAGATTTGTAACTTGATACAGTCAAACCTGTCTACAGTGGCCGCCCAAGGGAAACACAAAAAGTGGTCTTTCTAGACAGGTTCCTTCAGTGTATGTTTCAATGAGAAACCATTTTCAAGGAAAACAAAAATGTGGTCCTTGTAGACAGGTGGTCTTTGTAGACAGGTGGTCACTAAAGCAGGTTTGACTGTATTGTTAACAAGATGTATGAAACAGGGCCCTGTATAAAACAGCAAAGAGTTAATGCCTCTCAACAGATGATATATAGGATAGCATCTCTCTTGTAGGCGTGTCGTGGTCGAGTGATTTAAGGCGCTTGACTGGAGATGTGAAGGTCGAGGGTTCGGATCCCGACACGGCACTAATATCCTTTGGCAAGATATTAACCTGCACTTGCTACTCTCCACCCAGGTGTCAAATGGGTACCCGGTAGGATGCGACCGTCATTGTTGGTCAAACAGCTTGTGAGCGTCAAGTAACGCCCGGCTGGAATGCTCCCCAGGGAGTGGAGATTGTGCACACAGTGTGTGCGGGCAAGCACTGAATCCAATGACCAGAGTAATAGTATATTTGTAAAGGGCTTAGAGACATTTGTATTAAGCGCTATATAAAAATTAAATATTATTATTAAACACTATGAACATGACGGACAAAGAAAGAGGACAAAATATACAGTTCCTCATTCTACCCTCAACAATTGCTGTAGGTCTATGGGTAGACAAAGGAACATCCCTTCACTACTAATATGTAAAAATGTGTAGAAAAGGTGAATATGCATGTGACACCTGTTCTACACATTTTTAAATAATAGCAGTGAAAGGATGTTCCTTTGTCTACTACAGCAATTATTGAGGGTAGAATAAGGAACTGTATATTTTGTCCTCTTTCTTTGTCCGTCATATTCATAGTGAAAGGCCCTTTCAGATATGACGTGCCAAACGTCCACAGGTTTTCTACATGTAATGGCGACTGTGTGTATTCGCTGAGGTCTGTGTTATAGGATACACAAGTGTGAAGCATGTTCACACTTTACGTTGTTAAAAAACTACCACAGTTTGGCCGCATCATATCTTAACAAGACATTAGGACCAATAAATTAACCTTCCTTCTATCAACTGTTGATATGACTGGAAAAGCTGAGAAAGAAAGCTTTTGGACCATCAAGAGCATTTTTTGAGAAATATCCATATATGTTGAATACATTATTAGACCGGTCTACTGCAAGCAATAGCTACTTGGTCCTGCTACACTTCTATACACTGTGAACATCTATCAAAGTCAGCTGATTGCTGAATGTTGCTTCCTTCATGGGCGTCTTTCATGAGATGTTGACAGTGCTAGCGACAGAGGACAGATGAAGGTGAAGGTTGTCCAATCAGAGTACTGTATGGGATCACATGACTTCATCATCAGCATCCTGTACGCAAGAAAAAAGAACAATGTACATTAGATTTAGATTTCCCAGTTTTCACATCAAAGCATTGTAAACGACCTCGCGTCATGGCCAAATCAGCTGTATACGTCTTTATACAGCTTGGATCATGTAACGGTTACATGACGCTACTAAAGTATGTACAGTGAAGCCTGTCTATAAAGACCCCCCAATGGAGACAAGAAAAGGGGTCTTTATGTACACGGTTCTTTTAGTACATGTTTCAATGAGAAACCATTTTCAAGGGAAACACAAAATGTGGTCTCTGTAGACAGGTGGTCTTTCTATACAGGTGGTTGCTAAAGCAGGTTTGACTGTATATGATTGATCTCTGAGACTCTGAGGCATCAACAGCTTTGAGTCCTATCTGAGAGACTGAGTAGTTGAAAAGAACACCTTATGCAGGCTTTGAACCCAGGTGTACCCTTTCAAAGACCAAAGCTCTGTCCACTATGCCATTTTACAGACTAGAATAAACTACCCAATTTTAAAATCTTTGCTCATAGACTACTTAATCCTTTGACACATTATCCATTTTTTTAATGTCCTTTCTCCCTATATCTCTCTTTTCGTCTCTCTGTCTCTCTCTCTCTCTCTGTGTCTCTCTCTCTCAATCTCTCTCTCTCTCTCTCTCTCTCTCTCTCTGTCTTTCTCTTTATTTTATCCCACATCCCATCAAAGAGGGAATTTCCCTGTTGATGAACTTACTTGGTTGAGTTTCTTGAATTCCACGACTTGTGTGAAGACATGCTCCAGGATGTGTTTAGCATCCCTGGAGTCTGCCGGTAGCTTCATGCTGATGCCCAAGATATCTCCACACTCACGAACGTAGTACTCCAGATCATCATCAGTACCTGTGGGGTAGGAGTTAACATGAAAAGGCCTTTGTTCAGATATGACATGGCAAAACCGCTGCTTTAAAAAAATATTTCTTATGATGATGTATAGTGTAATACGTGTCATGTTTCTGTTTCATATAATACAGAGCTCGGTGAATATGCAGAGGAACTCTGTTGCGTGCGGTTACTATTCATTTAAAAATATATGATGCAGTAAAATCCGCAAAACAAACAAACACTGCATCGTATCTGAACAAGCCTTAAGAGAGGGTTTGAGCATGGACCTCAGAGTAAAACAGTTTCCATGATAAGACTCCATTTGACAGAAGACGAGTTTGTGCAGGGTTTTGTATATGCCCTTCAGGTAATATAATAGTCATACGTGGAAGACTTATAAAGGGGTTATATACTCCCTGGGGAGATGTTTTTTGGTTGTTCAAGGCTGTAAGCTTTTCAAGGGACCAGATATTTCTACCAGATACTACATTGTTCTGAAGATGAAAAAGCCATATTTAAAAGGAGGGTAAGGGTTACAGCATACAAAATGTTTAGTGATTAGCCTCATCATCTTCATCTTGATCTTCATCATTACCACAATCACCATTTAAAACATCACCACCATCATCATCTAAAACATCATCACTATCATCATCTAAAACATCACCACCATCAGCATCTAAAACATCACCACCATCAGCATCTAAAACATCATCACCATCATCATCTAAAACATCACCACCATCAGCATCTAAAACATCACCACCATCAGCATCTAAAACATCATCACCATCATCATCTAAAACATCACCACCATCAGCATCTAAAACATCACCACCATCAGCATCTAAAACATCATCACCATCATCATCTAAAACATCACCACCATCAGCATCTAAAACATCACCACCATCAGCATCTAAAACATCATCACCATCATCATCTAAAACATCACCACCATCACCATTTAAAACATCACCACCATCAGCATCTAAAACATCATCACCATCATCATCTAAAACATCACCACCATCAGCATCTAAAACATCACCACCATCACCATTTAAAACATCACCACCATCAGCATCTAAAACATCATCACCATCATCATCTAAAACATCACCACCATCAGCATCTAAAACATCACCACCATCACCATTTAAAACATCACCACCATCAGCATCTAAAACATCATCACCATCATCATCTAAAACATCATCACCTAAAACATCATCTAAAACATCATCACCATCATCATCATCTAAAACATCATCACCATTATCATAAACATCATCTAAAACATCATCTAAAACATCATCTAAAACATCATCACCATCATCATCTAAAAATCATCACCATCATCAGCTAAAACATCATCATCTAAAACATGATCTTCTAAAACATCATCACCTAAAACATCATCTTCTAAAACATCATCACCACCATTTATAGAATCACCATCATCATCATCCTCTTAAACATCATCACAATCATTTTAAACATCATTATAACTTTCATTATCACCACCATAATAGAATCATAATCAACAGCAGCAGCCCATTTTCATTATCATCACCAATGAACACATTACCACATTCTTTATAATCAATTAAGTTCACCAAATTGTTTAAACGTAAACTTTAGCAGCATTTCTTTTCATTGTATAGTTCTTCTTAAATGATATCTTGTATGCGTTGAAGTATCCCTTTACTCATTTCCAGCAGGTTGAGCTTTTTATTGTTAATTATATTGTGACGCACTCCGGATGAGCCCTTTCATCAATCCCCTGGAGCTTTATACGGATGCACCTTTTTCCATTCTATACTTTTAGTAGATTTAATCATGTTTTCTGCTTTTGTTTCTAATGTACTGTATATATATATATGTATTTCAATATATTTTTCTTTGCCTGTTTTTACAATGTATAATGTCAGTTTTACTGTGATTGGAAACAAATAAAGTTTAATTCAATTCAATTTAATTAGTCTTAAAAATCGTCACCACCACTTTTAAATTGTAAGACAAACAAAAGTAACATACCATCTTCATCATCATCACAACCCTCATCAGTAATGCTGGCTTCATCTTTATCAACCTCATCACCATCACCATAAACATTACCATCGCTATCATCACTCTCATTATCATCACAATCATTACCATCATCACCATTATCATCATCATCACCACCATCATCATCACCATCATCTCATCATCATCATCACATGACTTCTATCATTATCATCGTCATCACCACCATCATCATCACCACCATCGTCATCATTACCATCATCATCATCACCACCATCATCATCACCACCATCATCATCACCACCATCATCATCATCACCATCATCTCATCATCATCATCACATGACTTCTATCATTATCATCACCACCATCACCATCGTCATCGCCATCATCATCATCATCATCATCATCATCATCATCATCATCATCATCATCATCATCATCTCATCATCATCATCACATGACTCTATCATTATCATCGTCATCACCACCATCATCATTGTCATCGCCATCATCATCATCATCATCATCATCATCATCATCATCGTCATCATCACCATCATCATCGTCATCACCACCCTCATCATCCCATTATCATCATCATCACCATCACATCACACCAATATGTAACTACAATCACATCCACTTACATTTGTTTGTGATCTGTGCCAGTCTTGCTTTCTCTGACGAGAACGATTCATCTAGGTCAAACAGATCTAGGGCTGGTGGGGGAAGTTCCCTGAAAGCTGGAGGAAACACCTGCACATAATATCAATAATAAAATAGTGTTTGCACTGCATGTTCTATCTAGAGATCTAGCCTGAAGCGTACGGAAGAGAAAATACTTGTCATCTTTGACCGCTGAACTGTCAAAACACATTATGCATCGCTCTAGGCATGTTGTCATCTTGTCAAACAGAAAAGCTGGTCTTTATTTTCCTGTTTACTCTCCATCCAAAATAACATTCCCCCCGTGGCAGTATGGATTGATATCCAACCATCACATATCACATTAGATAGTTTTTATTTTTTTATTTTTACAAAGTCATTTCCCCATGAGGTTGACAGACCTTTCAGCGGAAGTAGATTCCTACAGGGTCTACTCACACTTAAAAAATAAAGTTGGGGATCACTTTTCGAAGAAATAATGGGATTAAACTGGTCAAGCAAAATAGTACCTCTCAGAGACATCTTACTTCAATACTAGCTGAAACTAATTTTGAGAAATGCAATTTTGGAATTATGGTCATTCAGTCAAACAAATATTGGTACAGCATAACCCTGTTATAGAGAAGACTGTTCGTATCCAACGAACATTATCACAAACTCTCTAAATAACAAGGTACTTTTGCCAATCTCAATAATTTGTATTCCCTTGTTTCTGAGTCTCGGTCAAACAAGAATTTTGAAGATGAGAACTTAAGAAGTTTTTAAAAAAAATTCTAAGATGTTTTCAGAAGTTTTTTTATGGTGAGGTTCGCATTTCTGTGAGCTTGAAGTTGGACTTACGGCTGGTTGAAGAGGAGGCAGGGGCACTTCAAATTGGGGTTGAATCAGCGACAGATTTTCATGCTTCACGTTGAGGGCTTCATACGCTCTGAAAAATTAGGGGAAAAGAGCAACATCAGGGGGGTGTTTCACAAAACTTGTCAACAGTGACAAATGACAGTTGTTGTTATAAGCTACTGAAATCCTTGCTTCTGGTTGGTTATCAATAGATTTGTCACTGATTTTTGTCATTTGTCATTGAAAAAAGGATTTGTGAAACGGGTCCCAGATCATATTCTCTGTTCTGTAACAGCAATCTCATTAGACTTATTGAAAGTTGATTTGTCCTCAGTTTTATCTACAATTTGGAATATCAAGCAGATTGATTATTTCATATAAGGTAGTTTTACTACATAATGGTCTTCCTACAACAGAACCATCAATTAACATATCAGAACAAGCAAGTTCCATCACAACTTTGAACACTACTGTTCTTCTTCTTCCATTTTGAGTACATACCTCTTTACAGAGTATTATTGTACTATACTGCGGTGTGTGAATTGCAGGTTGATCACTACACCAGGGTTTCCCCCCTACTCTTATACGAATAGTGCAGTGGGTTCTTAACGTGCAAAGGTGGTGACTCTTCTCTACACGGGGCCTCCATTTAACGTCCTATCCGAGGGACGGAGCATTTTCACTTAACATAGCCTGCGTCTATGAACAAGGGGAGGGGCACGTTAACACACAACGCAGGCTTCAGTCATCCGCCTGGGTGGGATTCAAACCCAGGATCTTTGGTTCGACAGGCAGACACTTTACCGACTGAGCTAACTCTGCTCCTGCTCCTACTACTAATACATCTGCCTACATCTACCATCAATACGTTTATTGTCACCTATTTAATTACCTGACAACTTTAGGAACCACTTTGGTGTCCAGACTGTACAACGTGTTATCAAAGAGAGTGTTGAAATCTCTGGGCGTCTCCTCGTTCTCCTGTAAGCATGTCCGTAGTTTATCTGCTAGCTTAGCCGTGTCGGGCAGAAAGTTGTAGTCCGATACCTAAACATGATGATAAGGTACAAAATGAACAATTTGGGGGGTTAAAATTGTTAATAATAGTAGGCAAAATGACTTGAAGGTTAAGTTATCTTTTTGTCGCAGCCGGTGCATGATTTGGGAGTGTAGCTTTGCGGAAAGTTGTATTGTGGTATACACATGATTGGGCATGAGATGAATAATATTTGGCTTAATTGTTTCACATCCTCTTTGAAATTAATGTTGTGTGTGACCACATCTCCTGGCATATTAAGTTTGCTTGGATGTAAGCAACAAAGTCAGGGGTACCAATAAGCGAAATGGAAATCCTGAACAAGTACAAGTTACAGGTCTAGGTCACCACTGATGTGAGGAAGCCATTCCCTTATTCTCTCTCGCTCTCTCTCCCTCTGTCTTTCTCTCTCCACCTCTCTCTCTCTCTCTCTCTTTGTCTTTCTCCCTCTTTGTCTTTCTCTCTCTCTCTCTCTCTCTCTCTCTCTCACATCTGATATACTTGCACTCTTGCTACTTTCTGTCTCTCTCCACTTCATACTGTACCTCAGTCAGACCAACGAGACGGACCCTAGACCATTAGTAGAGTGTACAAAATATCACATTACTTCAAATGGCCAAATTCAGTCTGTTTGGAGTCAGTCTGGCAGTGTGACTGAGGCATTACTCTAGGCCTTGCCCATTAGCGATATTCAATGCTTTTTACCTCTGGATCTTCGGCATCTATAGCATTGAGAACCACTTCATCTGTGGTCAGCCACTTGAAGAGGACATCCATGATCTTATTATTCTCCTCCTTGTCCAGATACTGGTCTGAGAACATGTGGACGGACCCTATGACGGCCAGCTTTCCTTTGGAGTACTGCAGGAGAAAACACATGGAAGTCAAGAGTTAAATTAAGACTTAAAGCCTATCTTCACTAGTTTGGCCAGGGGGATTAGACCACCCTGCTTGGTCACTGGCAGGTGGTTATCTCATCAAATCAGCTCTGAATTAAGATAAGAAAAAGAGGATCATGGGGGACCAACAGGCACCAATTAGGCATTGTTTGCTATATAGAGGGTGCAAGTAGCTATAAGTAGTGCAGCGGGGCTTAAAGAAATAAGTCAAAGAATTTTACAACAACATTTTAATGGACCCTTAGACAACCAGATTTTCTTCGAGTTCTACAGTCAATGAAATTTACTTCCACATGTGAAGTGACCCTAGGATGGCAATCTTTCTCTTTGAGTGCTGCGAAGATTAGAAGTTGAGTCAAGGAATTTTATAACCACATGTAAACTATCCCTGCACTCCCAGCTTTCCCTATTATAATAATAATAATAATAATCAGTTCTTCTAAAGAATTATCAAAAAGTGTTAAGGGCTTTATGAAGATTTCTACGACTGTAATGGAGATATTAGCTGGTAGAGAGTTCCACATGCAAGTGCTCTGTCGCCATAAGTCTTAGTTGCTCCAGGATTGATGGTTTATTACAAGATAATCTGTGATTGATTCACATCGACTGCATCTCTTTATGAGAAATTGCTTTGACCAATTTGTTAAAACAAGAAGTTTGTTCTCTGTACTGACTTCAAAACTTAAAATAACAAAATGAATGCACTTACTTTTGAGGAGTGTAATGCACAGACCGGTCTATTAAGAGGAAAACAGACTGTTCCTGTGGATAGGATAGCAGATGCAGGCTTGGCTACGTTCAGTGTTGCTCCATATGGATAGAGGTATGTCAAGGCTCTGTGAAGTTAAAGATAAAGACCAGTTATGGTCAAGCGATTGCATTGTGAAAGAAACGTTGTGGAATCGATCAGAAAAGGTTGAACATCTAGCATATAGGTATTGGTGTGTACTGCAAGGCTCTGGAATCATTAACTTGATAAGAAATTTGGCCCAGTCTTAAGTTACAAGCACTGTACGCAGAAAGATGCATATGGGACTATGCGACACGTGCCCGATATCTATCAGGTCCAAATAGATATAATAATTTACCAAATATATCAATTACAAGGCGGTTTCTCAGCAAAATTTGTATCATCACGTATTAGTCAAAACATATTCTTTCACATGATTGGTAATAAGAGCTTACATTTCATTTTATGAGAGGGGGGCGTTTCCAAAACTGATCTTTACCTTTAAGAGTTCAAGTAACATTAAAACCAATGCTACAGAATTTCTAATGTAAGCAGCTTGCGATGCCCACTCCTATATTCTGTTATCAACAAGATGCTTGGACCATATTCAATATCACATTTTTTTTCTTCTCATTGCAATCTCTGTCCCGTACCATTGTAATGGCAGCATTAAAAGGGGTTACAGGTGTTGAAATTCCCACCTTAATATTGAAATTCACAGAATCACTAATGGACCGCAAAAATGAATAGATATTCTTTCCTGTTTTATACCGTGTAAGACCATCTCAAGAAGCTAAATGATGAGTTTTCAAGTGCTTCTATTGGGGCAGTTCACCCAAATAATTGATACACAGCTAGACTCCATGCATAGACATATCTAGACTCCATCATGGAATGATCTTTGTGTACACTATCAATGCAGAAGCCAGCAAGGCACAGTCAAAATACCTTTCTGTTGGAATGTTTTTGTGAGAGTAGGATGGTGAACGTAACACCGTGCTAATACAAATAAATAGATAACTTATGAGGAAAAATAATACAGAGACTTGAAGGGGGGGATCAGAAAGCTATTTCTATAAAAAAAATATTATTGCAATTTATTAAGTAAAAATTAGTAACAGATCAAATAAGATATGAGCATGAAAGTTTCCATTTTGACATCGAAATCATGCAAAGCTATTGACAGGACAGGTTGACAAAAGAATGTATTTGGGGTAATTGAAATGTAATACTGCTAAATACACTGAAGGAATTGTAAAAATCTATTATAATATCAAATTTAAGTGTAAACATGTTTGAATGGTTGCTTTAACTATATAAGAAGCACTGTGATCATATATTAAGTGTGAACAAATTTTTTTTTCAACAAAAAATTATAGATTTACAAAGGTGTAGAAGTACTGAAGTGGCAATACAATTTACTCTGTGAATTTATGAGTCATTTGCTTTGAAATACGGTAAAAAAAAATCATGATTTACAGACACATTTAATCAATGTTTTGTTCACTTTCACCTCACTATAATTATATTTCATTCAAAACTACATGCAGGGAGTAGTGAGTTTACACGTATGCATCATGTTTATTAAGAGATGGGTACTTGCATGAGAATAAGAGTTTGCAAGATACTGAACATTTGGAGGAGAGTGAAATAAGAAAGCAAAAGTTTGGATAAAAAGACACTGTATTTCTGTGTTTTTTTATCAAGATAGATGTAAATTATAATTCATTTGCAGTACACTATTAGCACGTCAATAGAAACAAAGGGATTAGAGAAAAACTGAGTGGATGAAAAACATTGATTGGCAGAGTTATTCTGCCTGCCGTTTTGAAATGATCACACTATCTTTCAGAAGAAAAGTCTTAATTGGAAACTGGCAAGATGCTGTCTAAACCTGTTCTTGCACAAAAAGAAACAATATCAAAAACAAAAGCATGGTTTTTGCCTCCTTCAGAAAACGAAGATATGGAAAATAGAAGTATTTGATATACAGTAATGCAAATGTACAGGAAATACTTTGAATGGGTGGAACAGAGATCTGATGCGGAACGACTTTTGCTTGAAATGGTGTTTCTGAAGATTTTGCAAAGAGGATTGCCATATCCTTTCAGGCTGGTGTATCAACATTAATAACTCACTCTGCATGTGTTGCTAAGGATCCATCGACTTTGGGACTACATGGAGATTAGTATGAAAGTTAAATATGAATGATGCTGTACAGTTTTCTTAAAACACACATATTTTTAACTATAGTTCACACATAAATTAGATCAACTTCAAGTGTTTATGTTTTACATAAACTGATATTCAAATTGCAGCTCACTGAAATTACCCCATCCTTTTATTAATTTTTGTTGTTGCAGCATGTGTAAGAATAACACCCCTTCCCTACACCCTGTGGAGGTATTTGTTTTCGTCAGTATGAATCGGGGATAGCTTTTACTATTTCCCTTTTCCCTTGAAGGGCTACATGTAATCTCCTTTGGAGCTTTGTAGCGCTGTTGTGGTCTAGTGGTTACGTAGCTTCAGTCAGAATCACATGGTCCGTGGTTCAAGTCCCATTGAGGCACCAAAGCCCTTTGGCAAGATAGTAATCAACACGATTTGCCACTTTTCACCCAGGTGTAGTAAATGAGTATCCGGTAGGAAAACAGTTCTTCAATGCTTGAGCGCCTTACAGCTGGGGTAATAATTTGATTGCAAGGCCCTTAGGGAGAACAGTATAGAGTACCGAAACTGACATCATTAAATTTCCTAATGTTATGAACCAGAGCACTATAACACTGAGTTCCAATAGGACATCTATTTATTCAGATGGTTATATCTCAGCCAATACTTAATATATCAATTGGTTTTCGACCTTCGGACATTATTTTTGGTGCTCTTTCGGAAAGAAGAAAAAATTGAGAAATTCTACCAATAGATTTTTTATGACGTCACACTTCAGCACTCTATTGATATTAATAAGGCTACCCTGGGTTAGCTAGACATATTATTAGCATTATTGCTTTCTAGCCCAGTGTCTATTTCCAGCAGGTTTTACTCACTGTGTATCATTCTGTGCATCTTCATCACCACCACCTGGTGTGATCTTTCCCGCGGCTAGACTAATTGCTCTGAAAAACAAATCAAATGTAAGATATCAGATAGACAATCTCAACTGGCATGTCTATGAACATTAAAGGTCATTTAAAGCTTACATGTTAAATGGTGGGTCAGGGAATACCTCTTGCAAGCTTGTTCCTTTGATATTTATCATTCTAATCTTGAAATAAAGGCAAAGAGTACAGAGAAAGCTCACTAGAGCAATAAAAAGACAAGTATATGATAAACTGGTGTAAATTAAAGCAAATAAACAATTACAATTTATAAAGATATAAAGGCCGTGCATGTATAATAACATTTTTAAAATGTATTTACCAGCAACTTTACTTTCTCCAAAACTCAGCTTTGTTCTATGTATAAGCATTACCATAGAATCATATAAGATATAGATTATTATACATTTTAACATTATCATTCATAAATTTCAAAATGTAAAGTAAAGTATACAACGTTTCCATGACAAAGTCTATAATGACACAATCAAGAATCTAGAAGGATTTTCCATTCAAATAAAGACATGTCACCTGTTTAAAATTCCATTTGATACCAGCGCCTCCTTCGGATGAAAGTATTTGAAGTAGGATGTCCTGACTACACAGTCTGTAAAGTAAGGTCAAAGCCAATGGGTTAAAACCAATAATTACAAATTTCAATTATATTTTCCTAAGCTGTTTAAAGCCCCACTGTACTACTTGTAGCTACTTGCTCCCTCTACATAGAAAACAAGCCTAATTGGTAACCATTGGTCCCCCATGATCCTTTTTTTCTTATGTTAATCGAGAGCTGAGTTGATGAGATAACCACCTGCATAACCTCGCTGGGTGGTCAAATCCCTCCCAGCCAAACTAGTACAGACGTTCTTTAAATGATCTGCATTTGCATGAAGATGGATTTCAAAAGCCAGGAGATTTATAAGAATGGCCTGCGGATTGAACACGCTTGGAGGCCCTTAATATAAACGCTTCACATGCCCTTGTAACATGTATCTGATAAATATGATCTTTTTATGAGATCACCCGAACCAATCTAATCTACTGAGCATTTTGGTACAGTGTCTTTTCCTTGCAATTACAAAGCACTTCAAAATTTGCTCCACAAAGTAGTAAAAAAGTACACTTAAAGCCCAAATGCACTACTTATAGCTACTTGCGCCCTCTGTATAGCAAACAATGCATAATCAGTGATCATTGGTCCCCTATGATCCCCTTTTTATGATGTTAACTGAGAGCTGAATTGATGAGACAACCACCTGTCAGTGACCATGCAGGGAGGTCTAATCCCTCCTAGCCAAACTAGTGCAGATAGACTTTACACAATGATATAACACACTTTTCAAAACCCTGCATGGCCAATATAAGCATTCAACAATTCATGCTGCTCACCAACAAAACAGAGTTGGAGATCGATTGAGAACTTACCATTGTTTACCATGATCCCAAATTCTTCGAGGAGAAAGTTGATGTTGGTGTCAAACTTTGTCTCTCCTCCTTCTCCTACCATGACAAGCACACTGCCTCCATTCTCCATGTACTTCTTGATGGCTTCAAACTGTCATCATAAACAAAGTCCACAACATATCATTATATACCTCTCTTTCTAGAAATCTAGCCATCTGATTGGTCGAAATTGGAGTCGTGATTTTAGCTATTCCCGTAAAGAAATGGTTAATAGTTCATGAGGGAGATTCCCGCAAATTCTGGGTACCTGGAAAATGGTAAGATTTTGAAGAGATTCCCATTGGTTAACATGTGAAAAGTTTCTTTGTGTGAGTGCAGATACCATACAGTGCAGTATGTATGTATGTGATTCCCGAATGATTGAACATTCAGGCAACTTTCCAGCGAAGATTTACAAACTAGCAATATCAAGCGGGCAATATTTCCTGATATTTTCACTCTTCCAGATTTTGCGGATGACTTTGTGTTAACAAAATTGAGTACAAAAATATGAGGTCAATATTGAGCCCAATATGTATTGGCCCCATTTAACATCAGGGACTTTCCAAGCAGCTGAATTGCTGCAACGTTTTAACAGAGTATCGTGCGGCACGGTGAAAGGGTAAAATAAGCATACAGTGACCTTCCCTGATGCAGAAAGGAATAGGTAATTATTATAATATTGACTGGCTTATCTTGCGGCAGATGCAATGATATATTGTGTGGTATCTCCCTCAAGGCCAGTCAATATTATATAAATATTAAACTACATATGGGAATATCCACAATAGACACTTTTCCTACAGTACATGATGTGGTGGAAACTAACCCGATTAAAATTAAGGTGTAAAAACGTAACATAAGCATAGAGCACCTCATGTTAATAAATCCTACATACTATGAGATAAGTGAGTACACTTTAAAGTCTTTGTTGAATTCAGCAGGCATTATCATTCATTCATTTACATATATTTTGTCCCCACTTTGCTGTGGCAATTTTTTCTAAGTTGTTTAGCTACATGTGCTAGGAAGTCTGACAGGGTATTAAAAAATAAGATACAGACTTCAACTCAAGAGTAGACCTGAATCTGTGAATTTCTTTTCCTGTGTATGTTCAATATTACCCAGATTAAACTGACAGAAGTTAGCAACAATTACAAATTTAAGTCTCATTTATTTAATATTAATAATAGTGATATTATTATGAGAGATATAGGTGCCAAATCCACTTGAATCAAATGCTCAGGGCACACTAGCAAAACTTATTAGCAATTAAAAAAAGAGAGATCTCATAAAAGCATCTGCATTACAAACAAAAGAACAAAAGTAAGATAGAATATACAAAAAAGATAAAACAATCACTTATATGCCGAATAGAACAGATATGTTTTAAGATTATTTTTAAACAATTCAACTGATCTGCTATTACGAATCTCAAGAGGGAGAGCATTCCACAGTGAAGGCCCTGCATGAACACAGGCATGCTTTAAACCACATTTACATGTATAAAACACCATAGAAAACTTGCTTACGGTAAGCAATTGGGATTAATATCATGAATTTCAGTCAATAACTTGACCTTGCATACTAGTATATCCCTTACCTCTGGTGCTGTGAATTTGTCCCTTGGTCCAGCAATCACAAAGACCTTAGCATTCGTCAACTTTTCGTCTGTAATCTCATCTTTATTGCTGCAGAGAGGGGAAAATCCAAAAATAGTATAAATAAATATCTATTATTAAACAGCACAGTATGATAACAAATTTTCATACTACATTTGTAGCGATCTAAACTCACACAGGACAGCTGTTTTTGTTCTCCAATGCTCAATCAAATCCAAATTCAATCATGTATTTGATAGATACCTTGCAGTATGTTACAAACCGCTGCGCATTAATGCTCCATATACAGGTATCTGGGGCACTTCTACAATCAAGAAGGTTTCTCCATCTAATTAGTATTACATCCCTCATGTATAGTTGTTTGCATTGCAATTGTACAGAGCACGAAAAAGGTATAGATAAGTACTACCTACCTGAGATAGTACTTATTGTAAAGTAATTTTTTGCTGCTACCCCACTTGCCCACCCTTGCACATTGAATACGCATAGCAAAGTAGGTTACGCGAAATGTCAAAGTCGATGTCAATGTCAAATGAGCGCGCATCGACTGTATTACATGTATGCATGTTGCGCTTTGTAAAATCTAGCTGAAGCTAAACTGTCTGCAGAATCAGTTCTTATTATTATGTAAAATTCACTTTAAATAGACCTTATTGCCGATGTGGGATATATTACAAATATTAACCTCCTTTACTCGGGCAATGGATACAAACGATCATCGCCTCGGTGATCTCGGGGCTACCATCTTAGATAGTAGCCCCGAGATCCCCTCGGCGATGATAGTTTGCACCATTACCCTTGTAGTCGATTAATATTTGCTTAATACATATTTTGTTTTAATGCTCCCCCTTTCTGATGCAAACAGTCATCTGAAAAGAAAATTAAAAATGCTTGGAAATACACTATTTGCCCCCCCCCCCCCCCCCCCCCACGCAATGAAAATATAATGGAAATATAATAATTGGAAAATTTGAATAACTTTCCAATTTGTGTTTTTATTGTTATTTCATGTGTAATGGTGCTAAAGTGTGCAACATTGTAACATACCTGACAATTTTCCAATTTGATCTGAGTTTCTTGTTGAGTTGTTTGAATCCATTCTGCGTTGAAAAGAGCTCCCTCTTTGACACATCAAAGACAATGGATGTCCGCTGACCCTTGTCTCCCACATCCTGGGTAAGAAAAAATGTTTTTTGTTGTTAGCCTCACGTAAGATACAGGGCATACCGGTATACCCGTAGGTATCATCGCCAAGAATAAGGGTGTTCACTTTAAAGGTATTGGGTAACCTTGTCTCAGAATCTGAAACAAAATCTTGAATTTAGCCCATGCTGCAATAATAATTATAGACCTTTAGGCGAGTCAGGAACCCCATGACTTTTACAAGTCGATCGCTTATCTGATTATCAAGATATTTGTGATTGGAAATTGAAATCAAATTTTCCTTTTTCTATCGGTTTTCATAACACTACAGTCTATTGGGGAAACTAGTATGGTAAAACCAGTCACTCCGAGATTTTTACTTTTTTGAGGCACTTCTTGATCATTTTGAAGCGCAATTTTGTTTAGGGCTTCAATATTACACCATATCACAGACACTGATAACACGTTGGGCCGTGCATCTCAGATTTAACATTGTTAAACGATGCCTTTAAGACATGACCGTTCATCGTCAAGTAGACCTAGATCTAGATCTAATCTTTCTCTAGAGTAGAGGTCTATAGTCTAGATCTACATGTATGAATGACAGTGGTAATGATTTGGTAATAAAAAATTGACCAATTTTGCATGATCGTGCAATGCACATAGACTGTGTAGGATGTGTGCACGTGTGCAATCTCTAGATCTATGGGAAGGATTTTACTTTTTAATTTTTAGCAACATCAGGTGCGCTATCAGACGCCCAACTGTCTGAGCTGAGGCTGAGCCTGAGACGGGGTTAACATAATGCGCATGCGCTAAATCATGTAAGCTAAAGGTTCTAGACCTATGTGCCATATGATATCCGGATACACAAGGTGTGGGTAGATTTATACGTTTTGTTCAATTTGCAAATCCATCAGTCACTTTCAGTGATCGACCACTAGATCTAGTCTACAGACAACTCAACGAAGCCCACACACAAGGCTGCAGGGCCGGTGCTCTTCCCGGCCGGTGTAGCGGGGCTCCGTACTGTACCGTTGACTCTCCTGGTGGACGTGGTTGTCAACAACGCCTGCAACTTGGTTACCATTTCGCAATTGTGTTTTATCAAGTTAATAAACCTTGAAAAGAAATTCTAGAAAGGTGAGAATAAACCCTAATTACCACAGATATCAAAAATGTCATCATATACTGGGCCAATGAATGTAAATGTGTAATATTTTGAATGAAATTGAGATCTTACCCTTGTCATCGGCGCCATTTTTCTAGTGTAAAAAGGAATGTCAAGTAAGGAATGCTGTAAATGATTGACCGCAGATGGCGTTTCTTAGTTTTTCGCCGTTTGGCTTCATAAACATAGCAATTTGGGTTTGCCACTGTGAAGTGAATAATATTACAAAGAAAATGTCAATATGAAGTCCACCCTGTTATTGAGTATCTGTTGTTTTGCTTGAAGGGGGGAAATGAGAGAAACATGTCAGTGAAATTGTGAGAAAAACGATTTAAAATAAGAAAGTTATGAATTTGTTAAGGTACAATTAACACGAAACTCTCTGACGTATCTCACAAGCTCCCCTTTCCTTTGGCATGTAAACCTTCAAAAATCTAAGCCAGGGGTTCCGAAGGGGGTGTGATTTCTATAAAAGCTCAAAGGTCCGAAACAATGGGCAAATTTTGTTAACTTATTTTGTTTCCATACATACAAGTTTGTGATTTCATATCACAAAGATCCTAATAGTCGAACTTAAAGGGAACCAAAACTTTCATACCAAGTTACTTTTACTGTAAAGTTTAAAAGATTTGAATAAAATCAGTGAAAATTTGAACAAAATCGGGCAAGGAATAAGGAAGTTAGAGCTTTTTGAAATGACTAGTCACTAGAGGGCGGTATTCAATTTGATGACATCATCTGTGGACAACTCTCCATGCCTTTTGTACATAAAATTTCACAATTTTTTCGTTTTCTTTGTATTTATTTGTGTTCTTGATCCGACTTAATAACATGTGAAGTAGAATATCATTTTGCATTCTATATCTTGCTTTCAGGGGAGTAGATTATCTCAATCACAAGAAAGAAGAAAAAACATGACATTTTATGTACAAAAGGCATGGAGAGTTGTCCACAGATGATGTCCTCAAATTGAATACCGCCCTCTAGTGACTAGTCATTTCAAAAAGCTCTAACTTCCTTATTCCTTGCCCGATTTTGTTCAAATTTTCACTGATATTTTTCAAATATCTTTAACTTTACAATAAAAGTAACTTAGTATGAAGGTTTTGTTTCCCTTTAACTCTAAGTTGAACTTAAACATCACGGAGAGCCCTTTGTAGCCTTAGAATATAATATATTCAAAAGCAAATATTGAAGTAGTTTAGACTTTCCATAAATTCCACATCAATAGCATGAACTCTCCTTAATAATAAAAAATATGAATGATTTGAATCAACATTTTATGCCTTACTATGTCCCATTTGCAGGCCCCAAAAATGAAAAGGTTAAATTCCAACGGCATTTGAAAGATAATACTAAGTTAGAACTTCCCTAAAAAATGGGGGGCTTTAAAATGTCTTTAAAGGTATTACAGAGTTTTGGTAAATTTTGAAAATTGGCTGGATAGTGATTCTTTACAATTTTGATATATTTGGATGGCCCCTATGGATGTATTATAAGCACCAGAAAAATAAGCCTCTAACACTTCTGCTGTCGAGAAAAATTGAATATAAAAATTTACCGGTGCTCCCGGTAAATTTTGATAAATTTTAAATAGCGCCTACGGCCATATGATGGTAGCTACGACCATGAAAATCTCAGAATATGCAGTTGTGATATTTTTTTATTCCAAACGGTAATAGCGAATCGGTTGATTTTATTCAAATAACATTGTTTTATAGCTATATTAATATATTGACCTTGAGAGGGCGCTATACAACATAAAGAGTTTATTATTTACAATGTCATCACTTTAGACTCGATTTCAACCGGGACAACGATCACTTAATATTGTAGGATCGCATATGCTTCCAATATGTTCATTTGAACCAAATTCATGACCCCATACCAAAACTTTGTAATACCTGGAAAAACAACAACTATTAGTTGTCTAATTGGCTTAAGAGCTATATAGAGCCAGTAAGTAATAATCTGATTTTCTAACCATTCTACCGAATGGTCGTACGTTTATGCTGCGCAAAGATTCAATCAGTTTAATTTTGGCCATTACAAGAAGTGGGTTATTGATGTAGACAAAATGCTTGTGTACCCTTTACAGCTCATTTTATGGATGTTACTAACAAAACAAAAAAAGCCGGTCAGTCTCTCAATAGTGCCTGAAAGTGAAGTCTAGCAAGTAAACATGTTTCCTGGCATAATTTGAATATTAGGACACTGCTAACGTTTAAATTTCACAGATAGGGCAAACATGACATATTCATAATTCCTGCAAAGTTCTACAAAATTTGATGGTGGCTGCAAAAGGGACAAAGTATCTTTAAAAGAACTTTTACAAAATATTTTCAAAGATAATAACGGCTTTCCATAATTGTTAAGTCCGACTTAGGATCTCCGTGAAACACCCCCATGTATGGAATTATGGTATACCATCTTTGTGAAAAGTACCATTTACCCGAGATTTGCGAGGAACACGAATGCGGACCCTCCGACCCCGGAGTGGAGGGGGTGGGTCGGGGGCGGGGGTATTTTAGTGGGGACTGTAAACAGTGTTTCCCAGCAATAAACTGCCTAAACAAGTACTATTGTCCGCAAAAGGAGTGTTTGGAAGACGTAGGGATTGCATCAGATATTCAGAAATTAAAATCTACTCTTTTAATGTACAGGAATGGCAAGTAATAATTATACACGGAAAAAAATTAGGCACGTTTTAAACTTTATATATTTAAGGGGAATTGTTACAGTTTAACCCTAAACAGGCCGGACTGACATGCCCTCCGGTCTGGACTTTGAGAAGCCCTGCTCAAACTATTCCCTCGAGGTGAGGTCCAGGGGCAGGGGCCTCCTTTTGCTCTTGAGTTTTTAGCAATTTAAAACCTTTTGGGCCGTCTCGAGCGATAGAAATCATTATACTTCCTTTAAATTCCCACAGCCCCTATTATGGTAGCAATTTGTTTCCTTTCTCCCTTATTTTTTTCTTTCACTACTTTATAATTCTTCAATTTTACTCTTTTATCTCCTTTCTTATTTCTTTCCAGCTCCTTCTTCCGTCGCTCTCTATATTATTGTAACTTCAGCCGCAAAAAAAGGGTGCGGCCAATTCAGACCAGACTTGGTACGCCACTGAATAAAATGTGCAAGCGAAAGTTAGCTCTGTTTGGTCATTGTGTTCCAAAAGATTAAAATATTTTCAAAATGTACACAAAAACACCACAGGTTTCATTTCCTTGTTATTTAGTCTGATCCGATTCATTTGGTACGCTACAGTAACACTTAAAACTTGATCATGATGTCGGTAACGTACGAGACAATATACTTTAGGCTTTCCCTATCGGCCGGTGCAAGTAAACATTCATTGTGAAAAGAAATAACACTGGGTACAAATTAAGCATATAATTTTGGGTATTAACAGTTTTAGAACGTTTTCTTTTCGTTAAGATTTTGTTTGTACTGCTTTGATTTGTTCCAGTCGGTCGACAATTACATTTAGGGACGGCTATACTGGCATGCCAAAGCTGGCGGGGGCAATGACAGCCTCCAACATGTTACAGCCGTCTTTCAGAGAGCTCGTGATGGACAAGGCATGATCAGAATAGAATCTTAAGCTACTGGTTGAGATGACAGTTGTTATCAATTGATCATTTTCGTAATGTAACCAAATGTAATGTATACGTCTTTGCAAAGTACCTCAATACACAATATTTCGTTCAACTTACTGTAATGAATAATAATTGTATTTCAATAGTCAAAATGCAAAATACAGATACGTGTTGTTAAGTAGGGCAAGCCATAAGGTTTGTCCTACATGGCAACAACTAATGTATGCAGTTCGCATTTGCACTATTGAAAAACAATTATTCGTAACAGATGAACGAATACTACCCATCGAGGCACTTGCAAAGACGTAGGCTATGCATTAGATTTGGTTACATTACGCAAAAAAAGATCAATTGACTCTTATCTAGTCCAGTATTTAAATCTACTCATGTTCGATAGACCATTTCCCGGTTAGCACATGATTGCATCATTTGCATGCCCCGAATATCCACAGATCTTCAAAACATGAAGAGATCCCTCTTTGTACATTTTGAAATAATCACTCCTATGCTATGGAGGTGCTGGATATAGGGGCGGTGATTTCGTTTCATGACCGGGGGGGGGGTGGATGCGAGGGACGAGGGAGCAGTGGCGTAATGAGCAAAAACGTTTTATATGGGGGCAGAACAAAATTCGCATCACTCCCACTCTTACATCATACATGTTACATGCAGGGCCCACGGAACTTTTTTTTTTTAAGCGGGGGGGGGGGGGGGGTGTATTTACGATCAGGTGCAGGGAGGAGAGCCCCCGGAAGCTCAGGGGAAAACCATTCCATTTCAGCAACATTTGTTAAATCACTGGTATCGAATTAGAAATAAACCACGTTGAATTTGATTGGGGAGGCAACTGCCCTCAAAGCCCCCCCCCCCCCCCCACCCCCGCCAGTACGCCAGTGCGAGGGAGCACAGTGAACGAGAGTGGTGAAGGTGACGGAAGTGACTACCCCTCACAGGTTTTTGAAGTAGTGCTGTATTAAAAATTACATTCCTTAGCAAAACTTTAGTATTTAAAGGTAATTTTAGGTAAATTGTTTAACTTTAAATTTTGTTTTGTGTATGCATTAGCCAATGTGGAAAGCCTCTGGACAGAATTTTACAATTCTTTTAGGTGATCCCCGGGCATTGGCTGGTGCTAAATATCATATTCCTATGTATTATTATCATCTTGCCTGGAAATAAAATAAATTAAAAAAACTTATTGTGTGGAAAACGTGTTGATTCTTATAAATGCCTCTGTTTTCAGAACGCAATTGCCTCCAAAATGCGTGGTTATTACCATGACATTTTTAGTACCCTTAGGGGATCTAAAATTGCTATGAAGGTAATCTTAGAACCCAAAATGTGTGAAATTTAGCCAATACGATCATACCAATTCAGCTCCACTTTCAAAATAATATGGTGACCGTTGATTAAATAATTAATTAATTAATAATAATAATACATTGGCCGGCTGGTTGGGCTTAATATAACCAACACGAAAAAGCCAACAAAAAAACCAACATCGGCATTGGCTGAAATACGATGTAAAAGGCGCT